AGGTCCTTCCAAAGATGACATCCCATATTGTAAACGAAATAGATAACGTTCTGGGAAATAAGCCCTACAGCAAGAAGGACTACAGATCATAACGCGATGCATGAATTACCTGGACTGCATGGTTTAAAAAGTGCTCTGTACGGAGGTACAGCCCCGAATTAATATCTGGTCATGAGAATCATTCAGCAGCTTGCTGCTCGGTGTCTACTGTCACTGGATCCTTCGAGATGTGTGCTGTTGCTACTAATCTGCAGTGAAATTTAAAAGCACAGTTGATCTCTCTTCTAACCAAGAATAATCTTGTATTTTCTTACCTTCGACTGAATTCATTAATTTTTACTTTACTCTTAGCACCTCATGCTTGTGCTGTGAAAAACACTTGTAAAGCAAAAAATAATTTATAACCTTCAGGTACTTGGTAATTAGAGAAGGATGTACAGATCTATTTTTTCAATGAAGAAAAGCCAGACACAACTTAAGGTTTTAATAAAACCACATTTGGGAAAACTCAACTATAAAGTTTCTTCAGGTTAACAGACAGAAGGGGCAAGCTCAAATTTTCTGTTCTCTTTTTTATGCTGAATATATGCTTTAGATTTCGTTAGTAGTTGAATAAGGGATGTAAGACAGAATTAGTTAGAAATTAGATAGCTCAACTCCTAACTATACATCTATTTCAGCTGTGGAGTGCTCCTGGGAAGTATTTCTGCGTACAAGCCAGAAGAGCACAGGCAGAAAACCCAAACACGCATGTCAGGTTAATAAAAACAACGGCTGTTTGCAAAATTCTAATTCTACATAAACCTTAAACCAAGAAATCCACGATAAAATATTGCGGTTTGCATCTATAGAAACCTGCCTCTACTTCTGCCTGCTTGTAGACAGAGCTATTGCAAATTTCAATATTCATGAGCTTTTAAGGATATAGATACTTATAAATATATATAATGTATAGCTGCTGAAAAATACCGGAAAAAAAATCAGGTACGTGCTTTGGTGGAAGGCTACAGTTGCTGTAACTTGTTCTGGAATTGGGCATAAGTAAACGCATAGAATTTTTAAGACGACGCGTCTTAAACAGGTCATTCTTTTGTGAGCATTTCACCCCTCTATAGGAGTTGATAGCAAGCATTCATAGATTAATTTGCCCATCTTAAGAACCACGTCATATTTTACCATGAGTTTGCTTTGTAAAACGCACCTATGATTTCAGTAAGTCTTTCTCACTCGTGTTGAAGTGCGTACTTTGGGCGGTACAGCCATGTACAGTAGCTGTAGGACCCTTGTATTCTAGTGCCCTTAACGCCAGGGTACCTGCAGAGCGTCTGCAGCGTCGGCGTGGGCCACGTGAGCAGGTACTAATACTTGAGTTGTCTTCTCCTGTATTTAATCCAATGAGCTATGGTATGTGTAAATGAATTTAGCTGCTGTATATCCAGAAGTGCAGTCTGACTTTGACTTCTGCTTGGACACAATAAAAGCATTTTGTGCATCTAATTTTATACTTAGAGACCTGTTACTAAGAGTGAGACTAATTTTGAAACAGCAATGGTTTATGTTGAAAACGGACATGTATCATTCCACAGGGAAACACTAATTTTCAGCTGTACCCATGTTGGGCAAAGGACAATGACCTCGGGCCAGAGGAGTGGGGACAGCAGGGAACGACGGGCTGGCCTGGGCTGGCTGCGCATCTCAGAGAAGGTATTTGTACAAGTTAGTCCTCATAGGCAGTCATCAGTGGTATACAATGCTTTGGGCTGAAATAAACACAACGTGAACGTCCTCCTGACAGTTCACTGAAATCACAGAATGGTTTGGTTGGAAGGGACCTCAAAGCCCACCCAGTTCCAACCCCCTGCCCTGGGCAGGGACACCTCCCACCAGACCAGGTCACTCACAGCCCCATCCAACCTGGCCTTGAACACTCCCAGGGATGGGGCAGCCACAGTTTCTCCGAGCAACCTCTGCCACTGCCTCACTACCCTCACCGGGAAGGATTTCTTCCTCATCTCTCATCTAAACCTTCCCTCTCCCAGTTTAAAGCCATTGTCCCTTGTCCCATCACTCCCTGCCCTTGTCAAAAGTCCCTCCCCAGCTTTCTTGTAACCCACCGT